GGGGGGGGGGGTCTCTCCTGCCCTGTCCCCTGCTGTGCCCTGCACTGTCACAGCCTCTCCTTTGTCCCTGCAGGTTTCGCCGGGGGGGTCTGGTAAAATCCCAACGCCATCACCATGGACTTCCAGCATCGCCCTGGGGGTAAGACGGGGAGTGGAGGCGTGGCCTCCTCCTCAGAGAGCAACCGAGACCGCAGGGAGCGCCTCCGGCAGCTGGCCCTGGAGACCATTGACATCAACAAGGTGGGTCCAACCGAGGGCAGGAAGCCCCCCTCCGTCCCGCGTTCCCTCGCTCTGCCTTCTGTCAGTGGAGCCACATTCAGTACACCCGCACCTGGTGCCGTTCGCCCCGCTGCCCAGCGCTCCGGGCCTCGGTCCCGGTCTGTAATCAAGGGAACTTGACCTAGAGCAGCTCCAGCTGTCCACCTCAGAGACCGCCTGCTGTTCAGAGTGGGGGAGGGGGGTTATCGCGTGAGCTTTTTGTGTGACCGACCGACCAGAGGCGTGGGGAATTGCCAGTGGCGAGGACTAGGACGGCGGCGTGTGGATTGACGTTCTGGCCATGAGCAGTGAAGGGCAACGTTTTATTTGGCGGTTCAGAGCTATCGGTAGACCGGGACTTGCCCGTCGGCACCGCGGACATTTAGGGCCAGAGCATCCTGGGTGCTGTCGGCAGCCCAGCAGCATCCCGGCCCCCACCCACTCAGTGCCAGGATCACCCCAACTGTGACAAACTCCGGCGTCCCCAGACGTCCCCCAGCGCGCCCTGGGTCCACGCATGGTGCCCCTTAGACTTCAAACTCCTCTGAGACGAGAGCTCTCACCCTGGGCCAGGCCTCACCTGTGAGGTCAGCTCTGTTCCCGTCCCCGTTTCCCAAGGAGACGAGGGAGAACCGTCACGGCCAACGACGACACAGTCACGGGACAGCGAGTTAGGATTTGAACCCCCGTGGGTCTGTGCCGCCGCCCCTCTTCGTGGAAGGCTGCGTGGCTGGCCTGGGAACCCCGTGCGCAGAGACCAGGGTCTCCACGGGCCTTTGTTGAGGCGTTTGCTTTTGTTCTGGTGTCTGGCTTGTGCCGCAGAGCTTGGCAAAGCCGGCGAGGTTAGCGACGGGCCCCTGGCCTGGCCTGGCCTGGCCTGGGAGGCGGGCGCCCAGCCGTGCCGTCCTGGCTCTGCTTCCTTCCGGACCTGGAACCGCCACCGGCGCGGGGTGGAGAACCAGTATCGTGGGCCCCCAGCCCTGCCGAGCGGCCTGTGTCCACAGGATCCGGGTGGGGGGGGCAGGGGGGGGAGTTGCGCGGTGCTGCCTCAGGAGGGCCCCGTGGAGCCTGGGCCACGGGCTCCTCCCGGCCCCCTGTCCTCGAACACCTGCCCGAGGGAAAGCAGCCTCCTCTGCTGCTTGGACAAAGACCGGGCTCTGGCTCTTCGCGGCGCGTGCGGGGCCACGGTCGCCGCTGACGGATGTTTCTCTCCCCAGGACCCTTACTTCATGAAGAACCACCTGGGCTCCTACGAGTGCAAGCTGTGCCTGACCCTGCACAACAATGAGGTGTGTTCTCGGCTCTGGGGTGGATTCTGCTGCTGCGCGTCGGGGTCCCCCACCGCGTGGCCCGGCAGCGCTGCCCCCTTTGTAGTTCCGGGACATCGTTCAGAGCCCGCCCGAGGGTGGAGGGGCTCGGGCCTGCTACCTCAGCAGACTGTGCTCTCGGGCACGTCCTTTAGGGGAGACCCTGCGTGCTCCGGGCACAGGCCAAGCACCCCGTCCCCGGTCTGCGTCCCCCCACCCCCCCCAAGTCCCCCTGCTGCGCCGTAACCCCCACTGCTACCGTTACTGCGGGAGCGCGCCGTCGGCCCTGGGCCAGGCCCGTGCCCGGGAGTTCTAGATCCGGTTTTTGGGATCTCGTCGGTGTGGCTCCAACTGGGCTCTTTCAGTGACAGGAGGTCGTAGTCCGCCGCGTGCGCACGGTGCGCAGATCCGCTCCGGAGCGAGTAGATCTGGCTTTCCCCTTTCCCGTTGTTGAGCGTTCGGGTTGTTTGCGGTCACAAGTGGTGCCGAGTCGCACGGTCTGTCCCCCTCGGCAGTGCTGACAGACGAGTCGGGTCGTTCTCGGGGGATGCTGAGCCGTGTCCCCCACCCGCTCGATGCCAGGACCGCCCCGGTCACGACCACCACAAACTTCCCCAGACGCCACCAGTGCTCCCCTGGCAATCGAGAAACGGGGAGTTTGCCCCGCTCCGTGTGGAGAGGTCCCCTGGGCTGTCGTCAGGTCGGACCCCGGCGGTCACGGGGCACGTCACTTGGGGGGTACCAGCCTCCACCGTGCAGCCGGGCCCACTGATCATCCCCCGCGGCGGTGGGCGGCGAGCCTTCCCGAGCCCCACACGCCGTGACAGCGGGCGCTCGCAGACGCCTTCTCCAGCTCGGTGTTGCTCCGCTTCGTGCGAACGTGCCGGAGCTTGTCCGTCCGGCAGCCACCCAGCGCCCGTCTCGAGGCAGGGCCTGTGGACAGAGGCCGGCTCCTCTCTGCCCTCCCCGCCCTCACTCACCTGGTCTCGAACCACCCGTGTGCTTTTCCCGCTGCAGGGGAGTTACCTGGCGCACACCCAGGGGAAGAAGCATCAGACCAACTTGTGAGTACCTGGGCCCCCTTCCGGCGCCCGGGGTCCAGCCCCTCCAGGAGCTGCTTCACGGGGTCTCCCGGGCCTTGGGGCCGAGCAGAGGGTGGGCGCGAGGAGGGGCGGGAGGTGCTCTTTCCCCAGCGGTCAAGCTGATCGTGCTGCGGCCTGGGGCTTCTGTAACGCGGGGAGAGAGGTGAGGGTCACAGAAGACCTCCTAGTGAGGGGCAGCACAAAATGTGATGGGGACAGAGGTGCCCCGAGCCTGTCCCAGCCCTGCTGCGTGCGAACCCTGGGACCCCCAACCAGCACCCCCACCCCCGTGCCCCTGGCCTCTCAAACTCCCAAGGTCGCTGTGAGGGTTGGACAGCTCCCAGCACCTGGGCCTGTGGCCTTGGCGGCCCGTGTGGGGGGCCACGGTGCCGTCTCTGTCCCGCCTACAGGGCCCGGCGAGCCGCCAAGGAGGCCAAAGAGGCCCCCGCCCAGCCGGCGCCAGAGAAGGTCAAGGTGGAGGTGAAGAAGTTTGTGAAGATCGGCCGCCCGGGCTACAAAGGTAATTCTGTCTGGGGGCGGTCTGGCCCGCAGCCGGGGCTGGGCGTGACCCCCAGCCCTGTCCTTGAGCCACACAGAAGCTGCTGTTGTCTGGCCCTTTGCTGCGGAGACCCCCACTTGTCCGTGCCTCTCCTGTTTCCCATCGGAAGGACTAGGCTGGGACCAGCGGCCCCCCTGGGCCCCCCCTTCCTGTGAACTTTCCCAGACAGCCCTAACAGAGTGTCACGGCTTCTCGGGCCCCGTGTCCCCATGTCTTGGGAGCAGGTGGTTCTTTACTGTGCTGTTGGGGGACGTGAGTGACCATGGAGGGGAGGCCCTTTCCTTGACCTTGGGACAGGGTGTTGGTGCTTCAGCCTGAAGGAGGAGAGGGTGAAGGTCTGTGTAAGAAACCACTTATTTAGTGGAACTGACGGCAGAGAGGAGGGTTCTTGGATCACCTGCCAGAAAGTAGGTTAAGTGGCTCCATTGGAATATAGAGGACTATGTTTCCGGGAGTTAGAAAGAAAAAGCTACCAGGCAGCTGTTCTAACTAAAGGTAGCGACATCTGTGCATGACTGGCACTCCAAGCCCGACACAGCAGCGCACAGGTCCTGGGGCAGGTCTGCTTGATAAGCTAGGGCTGGGATGACAGGATCTGAGGGGGTGGGGGGGCAGGTGGAGGCCACCAAAGGCCTTTGGGCCATGGTAGGCCACCTGGTCTCTGTCCTGAGTGTCACGGGGAGACGCTGGAGGGCTTGGGGGGAGCGCGGCATGTTCCAGAGCTGTATGGAGAGCGGTCTGCGAGTGAGAACAGGGCCACTGGAGGCCTGTGCAGGGCTCTAACGTGAAGGGCGTCCTCCCGGAAGCAGGGGCACAGACCCCGCTTGCTGTGTGTGCACAGCGTGCCCCCGCTTCAGATTCCGTGGAGTGTCGTCCCAGGCCTCGAGGTGAGGGCCACAGGGCCCGCATCCTGCCCACGCGCACCCCTGACTCCGTGACCTCAGCCAGGGACCCCACGGTCCTGGGCGGTAGCCGTCCCAGCTACACGTAGCCCTGGTTCACCAGCCAGACGACGGGCCCCAGCATCCTGCCCTCCCGTTCGCGGGTGGCGTTCGTCCACACCCGTGGTCCCTTAGCCTCCGGGAGCACGAACTGGCCTGGACCTGATCCCTTCGTGTGTTGCAGTGACGAAGCAGAGGGACACAGAGATGGGCCAGCAGAGTCTCCTCTTCCAGGTAGGGGCAGCCGGAGCCCGACTGGGGGTGGGAGGGGGTCCCTTGAACGGCGGCGCTGCCACCTGCCCTCCCCCCCACACAGATCGACTACCCCGAGATCGCCGAGGGCGTCATGCCCCGCCACCGCTTTATGTCTGCCTACGAGCAGAGGATCGAGCCTCCGGACCGGCGCTGGCAGTACCTCCTGATGGCCGCCGAGCCCTACGAGACCATCGCCTTCAAGGTAGCACCCACGGGGTCCCCCAGCAGCCGTCCCCCAGTGGGTCGCGGCCTCTGGAAGGCGGGGGAGCTGTGTGAACCGACAGCCGGGGGCTGGGCGTCCAGAGGTGGGTCCCCACCGAAGGGCAGAGAGCCTGACGTGACCCTGGTGGGAAGACACCCTTGTGTGGCCAGGCTGTTTGGGGACCCGTAATCCCGTCCCGGGCAAAGAGCACAGCCTTTCCCCGGGGCCCCAGGGCTGCTAGGTAGCCGGGCTGGGACATCAGCCGCCGCCACCCCAGATCCGGCGTGGTCCTCAAGGCCCCGCTCCACCCCCCTCCCCACACAGGTGCCAAGCAGGGAGATCGACAAGGCCGAGGGCAAGTTCTGGACCCACTGGAATCGGGAAACGAAGCAGGTGAGTGAGTGGGTCTGGGTCCAGGCGCTCGTGGGCATCTGCCCCGGCCGGCCTGTCCCCTCTGGACCGCCGCTCAGTCCCCTCCGTCTTCTCCAGTTTTTCCTCCAGTTCCACTTCAAGATGGAGAAGCCCCCAGCCCCGCCAAGCCTCCCTGCTGGGCCCCCCGGGGTGAAGCGCCCCCCGCCCCCCCTGATGAACGGTCTGCCCCCCCGGCCACCGCTGCCAGAGTCTCTGCCCCCGCCACCGCCAGGAGGCCTGCCCCTTCCGCCCATGCCGCCCAGCGGGCCTGCACCCTCCGGGCCTCCGGGCCCTCCCCAGCTGCCCCCGCCAGCTCCTGGGGTCCACCCCCCGGCATCTGGGGTCCACCCCCCGGCACCAGGGGTCCACCCCCCGGCTCCCGGGGTCCACCCCCCGACACCAGTGGTGCACCCCCCAGCATCTGGGGTTCACCCCCCTGCTCCGGGCGTCCACCCTCCAGCCCCAGGGGTCCACCCCCCTGCCCCGGGTGTCCACCCTCCCCCATCTGCTGGGGTTCACCCCCAGGCCCCAGGGGTCCACCCTCCAGCTCCTGCAGTTCACCCCCAAGCTCCGGGGGTGCACCCCGCAGCTCCCGCAGTTCACCCCCAGGCCCCTGGCGTCCACCCTCCAGCTCCTGGGGTCCACCCCCCAGCCCCAGGGATCCACCCCCAGCCTCCTGGGGTTCACCCCCCACCTCCTGGGGTCCACCCATCTGCTCCTGGGGTCCATCCTCCAGCTCCTGGGGTTCACCCCCAGCCTCCTGGAGTTCACCCCTCAAATCCCGGGGTTCACCCCCCAACTCCCATGCCTCCGATGCTGAGGCCCCCGCTGCCCTCCGAGGGCCCTGGGAACATTCCGCCCCCTCCCCCAGCCAACTAAAAAGCTGCCCCTTCTCCGGGCCACTTCGCGGTCTTGTCCTGTTTCTCTCCAAGCTATGTGCTCTTGTGCAGGGTTGTGCCATGTGTCCGGCGGTCATTAAACGGTCTCCCCTGACGCCCGAAGTGACCTGCTGTGTGGGGGAATGGGGGGGGGGGGTGGGGGAGGCTCTGTGGGTCAGTAGATGTGGTAGCTTCACTCGCTGCTGGCGAACACCCACATGCACCCCCACCGTATATGTGGGGAGCTTGGGGTTGGGGCCTCGGTGTCCCTGTGTCCTCCCAGGATGCCGGTGGGTGAAGGACAGACCCAGGCAGTCAGCAGCGGGTCTGGGCTCTCTCCTGCGGCCGCTCCCCCTCCTTGGGGTCTCCAGCCAAATGGCTGTGCTTCTGCAGCTCCAGGGTGCCAAGAGGCAGTGTGAGCGAGCACTTGGGGAGCCCCAGCTTCGCTGGGAGACCACCCTCCGGCCAAGCCCATGCACCCAGCGGTCTGAACACCAAGATCTCTGGTCCCCATCAGAGCCGGGTGCCGGAGGCCTCCAGGGCGCTTGCCCCCCGCCCCCATCCCAGAGCTGTTGATCGTCTGCGCTGTCGCTCCCTGGTCTGGTTCCCACTCCCTCCTGCAGAGGGGAAAACCTCATCAAGGACAGTCGTTGGACCAACTGGGCACGGGCGGCACTCTATCACGGGTAGGAAGATAGGCGGTCAGGCTGGAACAGAAGAGGCTTTGAGAGGCTCCTCTGCCTGCCCAGGCCCACGGTGGGGCACCAGACGTTGGCCCCCAAGGTCACACCCCAGAAGGAGATAGGGGCTTTGCTCCTGCACAAACATCCCGGTCTCCTCCATATAAGCCAGAGCAACACAGCCCCTCACAGCAGCCAGGATGCCTGGTCTGCTCTCTCCGCCGGCCCTGGTGCTGTCGGTGATGGGGGCTCTGCTGATGGCCGGGGACCCTGGGGAAGAGGTCTCCAGCACCCCGGCCCTGCCTGGAGGGCCAGCCACGGGCACCGGGGGTCTCATCTTCCACCCGGATTGGGACTGGCAGCCCCCGGGCAGTCCCCAAGACCCCCTGTGCCTGGTGACGCTGGACAGGGGTGGTAACGGGAGCGGCTCCCCGCTTCGGGTGGTGGGGGCGCTGAGAGGCTATGAGCACGCCTTCCTCGAGGCTGTGCGGCGGGCCCGCTGGGGTCCCCACGGCCTGGCCACCTTCGGAGTCTGCACCCCCGGGGACAGGCAGGCCGCCCCGGTCTCTCTGCGGCAGCTGCAGGCGTGGCTGGGGGAGCCCGGGGGGCGGCGGCTGGTGGTGCTGCACCTGGAGGAAGGTACGTAGGGAGGGGGCCACGGCCTGGGCGGTGCCACGCCGCCACCACTCTTTCCAGACCGGGTCCTGCCGGAGCCCAACTCTAGACCCATCTTGGCCTCCTGGGAAGGCTGAGGCTGAGGGCCCGGGAAGTGGGGGCCCTTCGTGTCTGGGGGCCGCAAATCCCCCAATGCTTTGCTTCCAAGCCCACCCTTCCCGCATCCCTCCTGGGAGGTGTTCACCGCCCCCCCACCCCACGAAGGAGCAGAAGGGAGTCGGGCTCCGCCCACACCCCCCCTCCAAGGGTAGTGTGTGGCCTGTTCCCAGGAGCTGCTGCAGGAAATGGTTTCCCAGGGGACCCTATGGGCTCCCCCCACTAAGGAGAGCCCCAGACAGAGACCCCAGGGGTGCTCCAGGCTCCTCGTATTGGGGCAAGGCCCTGCACCCGATGTCTGGGTGTCAAGCCTCTCCCGGTATGGGTGGGGGCTCTCCCCGCAGGACTGCAAGACGGGCTTCGGGGAGGGGCTGGGGCCTCGGTGACTCAGGTGCTGCCCCTTCCCTGTTTGTCCCTCCTGGCCACAGTGACATGGGAGCCGACACCCTCACTGAAGTTCCAGGAGCCCCCGCCTGGAGGGGCCGGTCCCCTAGAGCTGGCGATGCTGGTGCTGTACCCTGGCCCTGGCCCCGAGGTCACGGTCACAGGGGCTGGGCTGCCAGGCACCCAGGTACCGGGGTGTTGGAGGGGGTTAGTTCGGGGGCCTCCAGGAGCCCTCACCCAGCAGAGGAGGGGGAATGGGGTTTTTTAACTGTGCTGAACAGAAAGATTCCAAGTCCCCTGGTTGGAACCTTGAAGGGGGGTGTCAAGGGCAATGGGCAGAGCAGGGCTGGTGTCCTCGCCCGCCCCCCCCGTCGAGGTTGCAAGCGGGGGGCGGGGGATCTTTCTGTTCAGCACAGTTAAAAAACCCCATTCCCCCTCCCCGGCTAGGCTGAGCCCCCGTCTCCACAGAACCTCTGTCAGTCCCGGGACACCCGCTACCTGGTGCTGGCGGTGGACCACCCAGAAGGGGCCTGGCGCAGCCCCGGGCTCACCCTGACCCTGCAACCCCGCAGAGACGGTAGGCTCTCCAAGAGAGGGACCGGGCAATGGTGGGCGGCCCGCGGTCCTCCGCCCCCGCTCAGCCAGGCCCCCGTGCCCCGCCACGCAGGTGCGCCCCTGAGCACGGCCCAGCTGCAGGAGCTGCTGTTCGGCCCCGACCCCCGCTGCTTCACACGCATGACCCCGGCGCTGCTCCTGCTGCCGGGGCCCGCGCCTGCACCGCTGCCCGCGCGTGGCCTGCTGGACCAAGTGCCTCTCCCGCCGCCCAGGTGTGCGCAGGCCCACGTTGGGGGTGTCGGGAGGAGAACCCTGCACCTGTCCCTACCGCCCAACTCCGCCTTCCAGGCCCTCCCAGGAGCAGGCGCCTAAGGAGCCACGGTCCAGCGCCGACCCCTTCCTGGAGACGCTCACGCGCCTGGTGCGCGCGCTGCGGGGGCCCCCGGCCCAGGCCTCGCCGCCGCGCCTGGCCCTGGACCCCGGCGCGCTGGCCGGCTTCCCGCAGGGCCTGGTCAACCTGTCGGACCCCGCGGCGCAGGAGCGCCTGCTCAACGGCGGCGACGAGCCGCTGCTGCTGCTTCTGCTGCCACCCGCCACGCCCGCCGCCGGGGACCCCGCGCCGCCACGCGGCCCGGCGTCCGCGCCCTGGGA